AAACCCAATGTCAACAACCCGTGGGTAAGATTAAGTAAATACATGTCTTACATTTCACTGTGAATACAGGTCTGAAGTGTATTTACCAACAACTACAGTGCGATACTGACCTCAAGATCACCTGAGTGTCCCTTCGTTCAAGGACGTATAAAGTCCCCTTCTCAGCACATCGAGGAAAATTACAACACGACTCATTCAAAAAGCTCCCAGCACAGGATTTCGCAACACGCGGTCCGCGTTATTCACAAAAATGTATCACCCCACAGAATAAAAACTAACGTGATATCAAGAAAAATGTTTTGTTAATGTCAGTATTTGGCAATACCTACCTCTGTACATAATTTTCCAGCTTAATTAGAGCGTTAAATTAACAGGAGGTGTCAGACTGACGAACATATGGAGAGACTCATTCGAATAGCAAGTTGTGCTTTCATATTTGGTCTGAATCCCTTAGAACCGTAAAACTGCTAATGAACCAAAGAACAGAGGCTCTCCAGCCAAACTGCAGGCACGCAACTTTCTGTGACGAAGAGCTTTTGAACCGTTCAAGCTGAAAGGTGTCTTTGCCAGCAATTTGAACGGTGTGCGAACCACCAGGCCAAGGTTAAGTCATAAACACTGCTGCCATTTTCAAGTTCGGATGATGTATTTTATGGCAGAACTGCTTTGTTGTTCCTATCACGCGAGGAGGAGTTACATCATCATACACGTAACACTATTCAACCTGCTCTTTTTCGTGCGTATACACAACATGTGGCCTGGCAACCCGTCTTCTGTTACGAAAGACGAAAACATCTCTTACAGCAGTGGAGCACGTCGGCAAACATTCTAAATCAAGCTAATAGATATTAAAACAACAAAATTCCCTGATGATCTGTTTCGAATTTAACTGTTGTTAAAATACGTAGGTAAGTAGGGAAGAAAGCGAATCATGAATCCGCCTATGTATCAGTATTGGATAAGCATTCGGGGAGGGGCATGTCGATGTCTGGGTTCGGCGCCACACCAAATTATTTGTCTTCATAAGTCTCGGAATATTTGTACTTAACAGCAATTACTACGGGTCTTCGCTTTATCAGAGAAAGGATCTTCTTATGGTACGAGTAACGATATGGAAATTACATGCATTCTGAACACGCCTAATCGAAATCAGATCCAGGAAGCCCAACGCCTTGTTGTCCAAAAAATGTTTGTACGAGAATACGCACCACGGGAAAGCCCATGTACAAATCACGAGTTTCTTGCCAGAATATGGTCCAGAAACGATCAGCGATTTCATGTGTTTTCAAGAATTATTTAGAAAATGTGCATGAACTTTTGGCGTCCATTCAAGCCTTTGAATGAACGAGTCTTATTACAGATTACCAAAATCTTAACGAAAATAAACAACATCAAATGTAATCAAATTTTTAGGGAAGGGCGAACTTAAGAAAAGTCAAGTTCTCCCCTTTGATCTTTCCAGTTGATCTTTGATAGTTCTGAGTTTGATGTGAATCTCGATTATTGACCCATTCAAGCTCCCAATTAAAAAAAGTTAATTAACAGAACGTGAACGCGATTGTACGCTGTTTAAAGGGAAACCGGGTCGGGTCGGGTCACGTCATGTCAAATGGCTACCCCAACGACCGATTAAGGCCGGAAACGTCTCTAATACAGACGGTTACTGTTCAATGCCTTCTAATTTATGTTGGGCAGTCCCACAAAACCTGACGTCTCTTGCACTGGTCTTTCAGCCGCTTGGTATCGAAATTTAGTGCATTAACCGTCTAAAAGCCAGTAAGTAAAGTTAGTAAAGTTTGTCCCACTATACGCCATGTAGGCGCTTGGGGGGAGGGGAGGTATAGCTCCTCTCTTCCTTGACCTCGGCACTAGATGGGGGTGAGTAGTCAGCATCACGCCCCGGCCGGCTTTACCCCCGGGAAAGGCCCCCGGTACCCATTGTAGAGGAGGCTGGGTGGGCCCCAGAGCCGGTCTGGACGCAGAGGCTAGAGGAAAAATTCTCTGCCCCCATCGGGGATCAAACCCCGATTTTATTGTAAAGATATCTCCGGAGGGGAAAATAAAGTAACGCAGTACAGCCACGTTCAAAAATAAAGGTATGAAACAAGGCAAAGGAGGGATGGCCTGCGTATCAAATCGGAGTTACTCAACGTTCACCTTTAGTAGCAGAAGAGTATAGGGCACGTGGAGGTAATAGGGGTTGTATCCGTGTATGACGTAGATTTCTGTCCTCGGCTTTAATATGGGATACCTGGTGGGAACGCTGTATTTTTTCACGTCCTTCATTTCCGCAGACTTACTTACATAACATATTTCGAAACGTTCTGAAACGTGACCTACGAACACTTAACAAGTAACTATTAGTTCTTAAAGTTACGTCTCGTTCAACGCACCTGAATTCGAAAAAGAACAGCTAACGTTCTATCCCCGAAAGTCTTAGTTCTCTGCGCCGCCACTGGATGACGTGACCATCTACCTGACCCTAACTTCGTGTAAAAGTTTACCTGCACCGAACTAGAGGGATGTTCAGGTACGGGATAACCTACGAGTAACAGCTTTTTCTTAGACAGGTCTCGGCATAATATAACCCATTAGTACCTAATTTAAAAAAAAATTAATCGCTGAAATCTGAGCCCGCCCACACTAATTCAATTTGGCAAAGACTACACGTTCCGTTCAAACGTTCTCTTACTTTCTTGCCAGTATAAAGTACATGACGCAATTAAAACGCCGGTTACACAAGGCCGTCGTTTCCACACTGTTCGGAACCTTGTCCCGCTTTAAGAAGCAGTAAATATTAAATGAAAAGCGGACAGTTACAAATGTATGCCCCACCGAGTATGTTCCTCCTACAATTATTCTGCTATGCACTCGAAACACTGCGACTTAATTCACCCCAGTGAAGGGCAAAGTTAAGAAATATTTAAGTCGCTTCCTACTATGAAGCCACGACTAATCAGCAGGGGTACTTAAGGCTTAGTAATCGGATTACAGAAACGAAGAAACAACGTGTTCTGACAAATACAAATTCTTTCAATTAAATTCAACCAGAAATGAAACAAGTTTATTAACTTTGGTATTTTGTAGGTGACACTTAGCTGGGCACTGGTTCATCTTCTGTTGCACGACATTTTGATGCCACAAGTTATAAAATAAATTCCTCCAGTCCTCCCACGCGTGTAGAACCGAGCTAGTTTATAATAAATTGCATCAGTGCGTAATAAAATCAATTTACTTAAAATCAGCACGCTCAGATTTAAGAGGAAGCAGGGATAGCTGGCTAGGGGTTGGAAGATCGGGGTTCTATTCCGGTAGGTGGCATGAATTCCTCGCTGTGCCACGGGGGTTCCCCCTTCTCCGCCGACAAAACATTCAGAACATGAAGCCGTCTAGTGAGGCGGTTAACAATATTCAAAGCGTTGCCCCTCTCACACATACCTCGGTGTGGCGCACAGCCACACCCTCGGCATTACAGATTTACCCTTAACACAGAACACCTACACCCTAGTGATTTTACATGAAGGAACTAAGGAAGACAACGAAAATACCTCACGATAGCCTGTCTTCGTTAAATGATTTACATAAATCCCCTTTTAAAACACCAACTATTGATCAGAAACGAATTCTGCACGAAGTCAAATAACCGGGTTATTCGACCTGAATAACCGCCCACACATTACGGTCTGACGCACACCTTCCCCGGAGCAAAGTCACCTAATCGTCCTTGCAGACACCGAACAATGATCCGCATCTTTATATATGAAGTAATTACAATCCGCCACACAGATCACAAACTAGATGTTCAAACGGATGACTCACACGCTTTTACGCTCGTCTCTCTCATTCCCGGATACTATTGTGAGCTAATACGTAATTCTGACGCGTCTTTCGAAATGACATCATCGACTTTCCTACACCATGAGATTCACCACCTGCGTACACTCGGTGAAGTTTCTTACAGCCTCTGAATCATTCTAAAAAGTGACTAGAACAGAGTTTCTCAAACTTTTATACCTTGCGCCCCCCTTAAAAACATTTCATAAATTTGACGCCCAGCCTTTCCAGAACAAGTGCAAGCAAACAGATTTGACATAAAAATTTACGTATTAGTATACAGCACTGTAAGACAACTAAACTGCCTCAACCAAGCAAAGGATGTTAAAAATGTTTCTCTATATTTCGTTAAAAAAAGTTTTTCATAAAAACACGCCCCCCCCGGGGGGGGGGCACACTTTGGGAACCTCTGGACTAGAACGAAGAAATTGTCTGGTCGGCTCTGAGGGAAAAAATGACATCAGTAGACAGGTACACGAATCTCGAGTGGGATCGGTAAGAGTTCAGTAGTTCGCACACTTATCTACAAAGATAAGCCCACGCAGTAAAGAGATTAAGGACTACAGCATTTCTTGATGTCAGAATTATTAAAGCCAGTCAGTGCTCTCAGATTTTCACTATCTTGGACCCACGTTCACGTTTATAGATCTGCTGATAGCAGCAATGTAGGCGAAGACTAAAGATTCATGGCAATTTGTTGAAAATTCTACGTCACTATCGCAAAAGGGCTACTAGGCGTTGGCGGCCAGCTGGGTCAGAATCCCTCGTTAAAACTCGGCAGTTTCCACAAAACACTCAACTACATCTTCCTCTCCTTTTGAAAATCACATAACAAGGGCCTGAGACATTTTAGAACACACCCAATTTAGGCTAGGCAAAAATAAACAAATGTGCTAAATTAAAAAAACGCCCGTGACACCTTTTCAACATAATAAATACATAATCTAAGGAGGTCAGGGAGTACCCAAGCTGAACTGAGTACTTACTCACGGCAACTGTTACCTGCAAGTGCTTTTACACTTCCAAAACACGAAATTACAAAAATAAAAAACTAGGAACATGAAAAGCATTAGTATTTTTCACCATTATTTCGGACACGGCCCGTAATCCACCACACGATTAAATTATGTTAAATACGTCGCAAGCCAAGACTGCACAATACATACCTTCTTGTAGAGCTTAATCCACGTGAGGTCGCCTTTGCTGTCCGTATACTGGAGACCAAAGAACCACACTTCCCGCAGGCCGATTGTCTTCACAACTTGATCAAAAAGTTGCTTGCCCGTAGTCGTCTGCTGGATCGCGAACTCCAGTTCCGCGTCCATCGTCGTCACCCGGACATTCATCTGCAAAAAATTATGAACAACGGGTGCGTAAGAAGCAGTTCACCTCCGGGGCCAAATTACAAATAGCTACAATTTCGTTGAAATCGTTTATTAAAACATGCATTGTGCATATTTCGGTCTTCATATAATACTGCTACTCCATATCGTAACATTTAGTCCAAAATCCAGAATATTTTAAATCTTACAACGACATTCGGGTGGACGCGACAAAGCTAGGAGGTACTTTAAAACTATAAATAAATAAATGACACTTATTGCCCTCCCCCCACCCCACCCCTACATTTAATACATCACAACATACTTTTTCCAGGTTTTACTTTAAATAAAAACAAAATCAATGATCTTCGAAGTCCAACGACTCTGAAATCTTACTTCAGATCTTTCTTCGACTGCCAACGTAGTAAGTGGGTCACAACTGAAAGACTGTCATAAGTTCATAGCTGGCATCAAGGGGAGACATTTATTTTAAAGCCTGCAGTACAATTGCATGTGTTTTGTATTGTAACTCTTCTGAAGGCTAGGCAGCTGCACGACGCAGTCCCAATTCGAAAACTTCAAGGAGAGTTGGTTACTGACACACTTTTCCTTCATCATCAGTGCAAGATGAAGTGTTCCAGGCAAGGTTGTCGCAGAACGCCAACTGTATGAGAGTGGCATTAATGAATCAGCTTATCTTTACAGCACGCACTATCAAAGAGCCGCTTTCGCCATAGAAATTATTTAAACACTTTTGGAACATTGCCTCAGAAATTATAAGTTAACCATGACCACGACAATAGTTAGTATCGTACTCAAGCTATACGAGCTTTTCCACAAGATTATCGTTAAAGCTGCACAAGATATAGTAACACCCACAAGAATGTCGTTAAGATTTGGAAAGGAAAGCCAAATTCAACAAATTTATAAAAATCAAATTACGCAAAGTTAATTTCAACAAATTTATAAAAATCAAATTACGCAAAGTTAATTTCAACAAATTTATAAAAACCAAATTACGCAAAGTTAATTTCAACAAATTTATAAATACCAAATTACGCAAAGTTAATTTAAACAAATTTATAAAAACCAAATTACGCAAAGTTAATTTCAACAAATTTATAAAAACCAAATTACGCAAAGTTAATTTTAACAAATTTATAAAAATTAAATTACGCAAAGTTAATTTCAACAAATTTATAAAAACCAAATTACGCAAAGTTAATTTCATGTATATGGTAATGTTTTACGTTTGTGTCAGTATTTACAAAAGTCAAAGATAGTCTCCTGTTTAACATTTCCCCTCCAACATAATGTCTACAATAATGAACAACTTCTGTTTCACGACTTATAACAACGGGCGGCAGCAGTAACCCATTGTCGTAATTTATTATTTAAACTCGAAAACGCGTAACATGAGAAAACCGGGAAACGTTTCTACGTTCAAATCAAATGCCACAGCACGTGCCTAACAGCCTTTTTTTTTGGGGGGGGGCAGTATAAATATACCACTGGGTATTCAATGTTGATCAAATAACACCACGTTTCATCAACACATTTTAGTAATGGACAAATTTAAATCTACTAGGGCAGAACGCTCCTTTCGGAGCTCCTCGGAGCGGGGGGGGGGGGGTTTGCGTTTTAAAATCTTGTGTAAGAAACTAAACTAAACCCCCACCGAATGGAGGGTTAAAATACTTGACCAACCCCCTTTTTCGGGGGAGCTTGATCAAGTGTTTAAAAAGCAACCAACCCCCTTTCGGGGGGGTTGGTTGCGTTTTAAAATCTTGAGTAAGACACTAAGCTCGGCATTGTTGTGTTGTACTCGGCAGTGTCGTGTTCCACAACAATGCCGAGTTTGTTTATACTCGGCATTGTTGATGACGTAATTTATTGACGACAACGAGGAATCACAAATTTTTATAATATAATAATATATATATAGATTTGCCTCAGGCGTTTAAAATGAGTTTGTATGAAACGAAAAAAGACCTGCATTAATCCTACATACCGGTGATATCTGGGCCGCACGTACTTAGTATCAGGGTAAACTTTACCTTTATCTCACACCAACGCACCCAAAGGCATGAAGGTATTGGAAATAAGTCAACCTCTAGCGAACTATGACTTCTGCCCTGTTGCAAGGAAAATCTTAAAACACAGCTTATCTTCTTGTAACGTGTAGTTTGGTAAATATTGACTGAGGCTTCAGGAGCCAGTAAGCTCTTCAGAAACCTTGGGTAAATATCTACCAGCCTAGACGGCCCAACTTCATTTCGGTCTTCCAAATACCTAGATAATAATTTAGGATAAAATCAGCCCTCATCCGGCACTGGGGAATAATCAACGATACCCGAGGTTAAAGACGCGATGCAGAAATTATAATTTTGTTCTTGCTGAACCAAACTGCTAATTCAACTACCACTACTAGCTTGAAAGCACTGGTTATGTCATGTCCGTATAGTTTGGGTGGGGCAAACTGTTTTCTTGGCTGTGGTGCTAACCGAACTTGAACATTTCTGTACATGATCTGAAATTTAACAAACACAATACATGGATGACATTTCCTCTTCCTAGTTATCAAAAGTTGCGTTATCGTGCTAGTTATCAATTATCATAACTTTACGTTCTAAGATAATACGTATCAGACCTAAATGATATGAAATCACTATTAACGGATATCTGTCCCAGGTGATTACGAATCAATATCACAATCATTCCAATCCATAGGTGTCACAACATGACTTGAAAACGTCACTACAGCTCCGAAATTTTGACCAAAATTGCTCTTATTGAAATCGATGTCAATAAAAATGCAATTTTCATGTACATAATCTTGAAAACCTTCACGCCATGTAAAGTCTTAAAAGGTAATTCGTACCGTTAACAACTTAAATCCAATGGCTTGTCTCCTGGTCTGTAGGGTAATGCAGTCTGGCATTCAAACATCACGCAACGTTTTACCTTCCATTATTAATATCAGAGATTCGAATTTCTGAAAATGTTTCGTTTCCAATAGAATTTCTTATAACACGAAAACAGAACACAGACCCCGCAACTTCAAGTTTCCAAACATTTTCTCGACACTGAAGAAACTAACCACCAGTATGTTAACAATGGAAAGCTTACCAATTTGCCTCCGGCCACCATCTTGAAAGCTTCCTTGCTTTACAGACTAATACCACGACTTCACACTGCAGAAATGAACGCTCCTCACTGAACGACAAACCAGCCTTTACAAAAGAACAGACATTCAGAAGACTGGATATGACGTAGTCTTCGTACATCTGCCAGTCAGGAGCCGGTTTGACGACCTTGGGGGTCTGACTATGCGCACTCGTTCCTTGACCAATAACAACCGACACATTCAAAGCCATCCACCAATGAAACTAAACAAGACTAAAAAAAGTGCTCAACTCCCTTTACAAACATTCAAATTGAACCGCCAAAGTTCCACCTGTCCGACGCCAAGTGCAGTGTTGCAGAACAATTGAAAGCACATGTCCAAAACACCTGTTCAATACGGAGATACCCGAAGCCAACTCATGGATTTGCATATCTTATCCTCTTAACGCCAGATTCTTGAAAACAAAACTAAACTCATACTAGATATCTCATTCCAAGCAACAGAATCTCTCTTCACAAACCAACGCCTATCAACTAGCCTTCATGGAGCACGAAGGTTCACAAGAGGATGGGAGAGCCATCTCGCGAAACGTAGTGGACTGAAGCAGCACAATGGCGACCAAAAAAGTAAAAAAAAATATTAAACCGGTTATGTTTATAAGATCCCACCATAGACTCCTACCCTGAATCACATGAATTCGACCTCACCTCACAACCCAAATTTACATTTTAGTCCATTTTAATATTATTCTCCCACCTATGCCTTCCTAACAAAATTTCTTGCAAATTTCTCAGTCCTTCCACACGTGCTACTTGCCTCTCCAACCCCAACACTATCTGACAAAGTGCACATTATAAAGCCCCGATTATGCCTTTTCTCCGTCTTCCTGTTCTCAAACATCTCTACGCGTGTTAGCAGCAAAGACGAGAAATTCTCCATCTTTTATTAAGCCCGTGTACACAAACAGACGACTAAAGGCTACAGCACACATTTTTATTTTTTTTTTTGCTACGACTTAATTTTGGATGCTGTCTCATTATTTGTCACCAGGCTCCGGGTGTCACCGGATACCAATCTTTGATTATTCTTCCACCTCCAACAAAAACTCTTTCAGACGTTCGAATTGAGGCTTATATATCTGCCGTCAGTCGTTCGTGTGTGTAGGTTTGCACAAGAGGAAAAAATAGATGACATTACGCATTAGAACTATTCAAACAGTGGCCTAAGTATTTGCTCTTACAGTTTCACACGGATATTTAAGCTTTAATTTGTTTCGTAATTCAAGCAGCATAAGATTCATCTCACGACTCTGACGGAAGAACCGATCAACGAAATGCCGCGAATGGATTTTAAAAAAAATACGATCCACACGTTCTTAATCAAGCATTAATTAACCCTCCCGACGTTTCAGAGGTACTTGCTGCCTCCATTATCGTCTTGATGATGGCAGCAGCAAGAACCTCTGAAACGCCTGTTAACGCTTCCAGACTACGCGACACTACAACCCAGAACAAAACAATAAGCTTCCTCGGCTTGAGGTTCTCACGGCGGGGAAGATGTGAATCTTGTGGTCTTCCGCGTTGGAATACCACCTCAAAGTTTCCTTCCATACGACTTCCGCGCAATAAGTGCACTACCCCCCCCCCCCCCCTTTCACAGCCGTACAGTACAATTCATAATTACGCTTAGTACGAGGAGAAAAGGAAACCAATTACCTCTGCGTTCTGTATTCGACGCATTCCCAACCAACATTACATTAACTACATATCACGTTTTCATAAAACCCAATATTGATCATAATCAAATACTTGTTACCACTACTACCATGGCGTAACAGCCCAAAATCGAGCCCTAGCCTCCTCTATCTTCTTCCTCCAATCCTCTCTATCCAACGCTATCCTTCTCCAAGCTGCTGTTCCAAGGAGATCTCAGGAGTCAGTCGTCCCTGCATCCAGCCATCTACCTTTAGGTCTTCCCACTGGCCTTCTCCCATATATTGTTCCTTCCAATATTTTTTGGGGTATCCTATACTCTTCCATCTTGTAGACATGTCCAGCAATGTCTTAAACAAACTTTACTCAATTGTAAAGCATGTATGAAGAAAATATTTAAAATAAAGCCAATATATAAACTTACTTTCCGTATAGACGTATTTACGTCAAATTCTCCGGAACCATGGTTCCACTGACAACTTTTTAACTAGAGGTATATTGGCAACACTGGTACAGCAAATTTATCTTTTTATCCACTCTCTAGACACCACCTCAACCTCAGATATACCATTGCATCCGGCGATACGGCGCTGAACAAAGCCAGAACGCTGAACGGAACCAAGTGGAAAGAATTCAAACCCAACTATTTGCACAATTGGCTGGGGCCAAAGTGTCGAAATCTAATCAGCACGTCAAACATCACGCGACTATTGGCGTATTCAAGTGATTTAACGGCAGATTTTCAACAGTCGGTTACAGTGAAAGGAAAGTTAAAGGTGGAGGTTAAAATGCGAATAGGTAAGGACTCGGAAGGAGATGCCCAAGGCCTGTTCGAAGACATTAGCCTGAAGAAAACCAAGGTCAACCAGGAAATATTTAAATTCATGACCGGAGAAAACTTCTGTTTAATGTTGGTTTTCCCCCAGACACTGGGCTGGGCATGTAGCGCGCATGGATGGGACAAGAGGTGTGCACCGGGTACTGGTTGGGAAGCCTGAGGGGAAGAGACCTCTCGGGAGACCTAGACGTAGATGGGAGGATAATCTCTATGGGAGATAGGAGTTGAAGGAGACTGGATTTTGTTGGCCCAGGACAGGGTCCGGTGGAGGGCTTTGGTTAATTCGGTGATGAACCTTCGGGTTCGGTAAGCCATCTAGTTAGTTAGTTAGTTAGTTTCCCCCAGACACGCTGTGTCCACGTTTACTTTATAGTCAGACTTGTTAAAATTCACTGAACTGATCAAATTTTTTTTAAAAAAAAAACGTTATAGCGGTTTCATTAAATTATTTTATACAATTTAATTCCAACACATGGCCGAGTTGCAAACACATTAACCTGGAAATTAAACTCAGCTACTGCTTTAAAACGGTTTTAGGCAAAACTGGCCAAGCGAAAAAGTTGTTTCACTTCGTTCTGGAAACCCAATTTTACGTTAACAAAAGCTGCAAGCATGAAATGCCCAAGAAGTTGCAAATATAAGGTAAGAAATGTACATTTATGAATCAGAGACTACATGACAATGTAGTCTTCATTAATCGCAATAAATTAGTGCATTCTCACAAGAGCATGCACAGGAAACACAACGCTCATCACAGCGTCGGCTTCATCTCCGTAAGCAGGATGCGATACCGTATCACGACGGTAGTTCAAGGTCACGAAGGAGAAATCTGGGTCACTGTTCAGATCTGGAACCAAACACGAATGCCTGCCACTCGGCGTACAGAATACACGGAATTCGTAATTTTCTCCATTCATTTCATAAACGATGAGAGGTAAATGGAAAATACAAACTGGAGTTGATACAAGGCTTCAAAGAATCTCTAAAGGCGATTGCAGTTGTTATTACATAAGCCTAATTATATAGCATGACAAACGCAAATTGGATGGTATGTGACAGAAGGTACAGCCCGGCACTTACCTGAAGGGACTGAAGAAAATCATAGAAACACTCTTGCGGAGATAGGTTAGCTTAATTTTCGAACCCAGGGCCTTACCAAGGAGAGCTCGACTTTCGGTGACAATATTTAAGTTAGAAATTCGTCCACGCATCGTAAACCCCCAAAATAAAGACAGAAAATAACTGTAACCACTGAAGATGGCTGTCTTCTCGTTTGTCGCAAAAGTTTACAGATGTTTCAAAGGTGCTTGCTGCCTCCATTATCAGGACGACACATCACCTCTGAAATGACGGCAAACGTGTGCCAACCTACACGGCGCAACAACCCAGAAGACAGCCATCTTCATATTCGCCGTCATGAGATTCATTTAAATAAATAGACTATATAAACTATATCCAAAAATGTTTTAAATAAAAGCTGTAGTCTTACTAAGATCTGTGCAATATGTGAAAAATTAAAAAACTGTTGAAATTCAAGTAAAAAAAGGGGTTAAGTGAAGATGGCTGACTGGAATGTCACACCTCACACAATCTGAACGGCGTTTCAAAGACGATTTATGCTTCCATTATCAGGGTGATGAGTGATCGACCTGATGATTGAGTCCGTCACTACCACCTCTGATGGAGACACGGGTACGAAAGGAACAACGATAAAAACGAGGGGCCGGATAAATGAAAGGACAAAAGAGAGTCGGGAATTAAAATGCGAAAGAGAGTTGAATTTCAGCGCCAACTTTATGCTGGTTACCAAATAAACAATTTTTCTAGAAATTCAGGATAAGTAGCAACATGCCAGACTCGGGTGCTTTGAACACTGCCCACATCAAACAGATGACGCCTGGAACGGCTTTCAAACACGTTCGTGTCTAGAACGCATTTTACATGTCCAATGACATACATTGAGTTGCCTGTTCCGAATTGCAAAATAGCGATCCTCAAACCGAAGACTAAACATTATAAGACATCTTTATTAACAAATAAGCCCATTTTGAATTTTATAACAGAACTCCACAATGAAATGTGGGGTTTGTGTTAAGAACGTTCACGGATCGAGTCTTCTGAAGATGACTGTCTGCTGGGTTGTAGCGCCGTGTAGTCTGGTGATGAGTCGCCCTGATGATGACGGCAGGAAGAACCTCTGTAACGTTCGTAAACTTCTACCAGACTGCACGGCGCTACAACCCAGAATATAGCCATCTTCGGACTCGCCGCCGTGAAAACCCCAAATCCTACCGAATCTTCTGAAGTCTGTAGTATCTCATTTTTAGACAAATTCTGAACAATCCTTTGGGAAGGAGTCAATTCTACATCTCAACTACACGCCTGGGATTCCACCAAAATGCAGGGCAAAATCATAATAGTCTAAATCAGTGGTATTCAACCTGGGGTACGCATACCCCCGGGGGTACGTGAAGACATCTTAGGGGGTACGTGAAATTTAAAAAAAAAAATTATGATAAACACTGAATAATCAGTAATGTAATTTATTTAATTTATTTTAGATGTAGATTATATACTATGTATAACTTGAATTATACACCAACAAATT